AAAATCGTTGGCTGGAATGCAGATATTCGCACAGAAAGCATGCAGCTACCCGCTTGTGTTACTTCATGGCTCTCGAGGGCGCCAGTGTTGTCTGACTCTCAAATTACTTGCGTGTTTATCAAAGTATTTCGTTATGCATTATGTGTTCTGCCAAATGCACTAAATTTTCGTCGGCCTCTCTGTGAATGCACAAGAATCAAACCAAATAACACAGATTACGATCGGAAGTTATATAGCATCGCTACTTTTATCATTGACTAGCATTAGCTACGATGGTTGTCAATGTGGATTTTGGTAAATATTAGTCGACTGACTATGTTGTTGACCAAACAAAACTGCAAAACGAACTATCACTTTGTAAAATGAACTAACAAACTATAAATCAACTAACAAAATACCATGTTATAAGTATGTAACGGCTTCGATTATTGTCGGGAAAGGGCAACTGTAACATTCGAAACAAGAGGCTAAGTAACAACACTTTCATGAGCAGAACATCCCGCTTAGTGATGCACACGAAAGGTACCGTCAAGGCACGCTTATGAATATCGTTTTTACAACAAAGTTGACAAAGATGTAGGCTTAAGCGTGTTGGAAAACACACTTGCCAGTAGACTAAGAGCGCGAGGACACAGACGCAGCGCAGTGCATTTTTTTCTTCTAGTCTTATAGCGTCCCAGAGCTGCAAGTCTGCTGCCTCAGAAATTAATTTTTGGCGCAGTGCGTCTGGCTGTCTCGCTTACTCTAATTTCACTTACTGCATGGGTCAGTCGTGCACTGCTACGCCACGTTTTCTTCAATTATAGGTCACTCGGTTTTGCTAGCCAACTACCACCCCAGCATATATTGGAGCCCATAAGTATGTGCAACGCTTTCCCGGCAACCACGGAGAACGACCACGTTGACAACAACAACAACAACAACAACAACAACAACAACAACAACAACAACAACAACAACAACAACAACAACAACAACAACAACAAGAAAAAAAATCTCATTGTTTCTTTTTTTGTTACATGAATGCTTAGCACACATCAATTTCTACGCTGCATGAAATCTGCATTTTCTTTTCACTGCGCAGCTCAATATATCTCAGCCAGTCGTATTTTCGTTCACACGAAACCCTTTCCGCTATCCCTTAAAGCATGTTTAATGATTAAATGGAAACCTTCACGTCATTTTCGAAGGAGTGACGTTAGAAACTAATAAATCACAGTGGAAAAATTTTTGCAGCTTCTGTTGTTTCAATCCGGGTCCCTAGGCTGCCAATTGTAGTGTCCCAGCCACTAGGCAGGATGTGAATACAATTATATCACATTAATTCCTTGTGTTTTCGAGCACCGTGATTAGGACTCTGACAGACTGCCTGTCAGAGCCCTGTTTTGGTTTACACGAACCACCTTTATCGTACCAGCCACGTTCGTACCATAAGCCTTAAAGTCTGAACTGGTACGCGTTGGATACTATTCCTGATTACAGCCGCCGCAATTATAGAGGAGGCCAAATGCAGCAATATCCACGCACCTAGATTTAGCTGCGTGTTGAAGAGCCTCACGTGTTTAACACCAATTAGGAATAAGGCACTGCGACACTTCCTCATAATCACATCGTGTCTTTTCCATGTAAACGTTAAGATGTGATATCTAGTAGCACACCCAACGATGGAAGCACGCTACAACGTCATTCTGCATAGACAGCGCTACTTGAACATGAAAGAAAGAACAACGAAAAAAGGTGATAAATGTTTAGAGTTGGTTAACATATTAGAATATCACCTTCTACAAAAATTTGTATAAAATATTTCCTTGTGAACTAGCATATAACATTGCCAAAAGGTTAGTGGTTGTATGGTTCAGCTATGAGCGCAGTATAAAGACCTTCTATATTCCGCTTCAAAAATATTAGGCAATCTAGCCAGCACATTTTCGCAATACGTTATTGGAACAATCAATGATGCCGTGCCACTGTTGTTTTGCGCTGTCACGCCCCCAGAGATCTCTTAGCGCATCTTATGTGCTTGCGCAAAATGGTGACAGTTTGTTCAGCTTGGCGGGACCCAGCTGTAGCCTGCAGAAAAAAATTAAGGCAGCTTTGTTGAAGTGATGCGGAGCCTGAAGAAAGTGCGGAAGTGGGAAGCATTCCTTATATATTTTTGTTCTCTTTGTCTTTTCTCTTCTCTTTCTGTTTTGTGTATTAATGTATTTTTTTCTTTTTTTCTCATCATTTGAAACTCATTTATTTTTTCTTACAATTTTTGTCTATTTTTTTCTCTCTTTCTCGCTTGCTTCTTTTTTTTGCAATTTTTACACGTGGTGTTATTTAAAGGGCTCCGCACTAGTATCGGCGTAGAGGTGCTCAAAAAGCAAGAGGGCGAAGACTTTTTTTTTTTTTTTTTGGCGCGAGCGCACTCTACAGCTGGTTATGCCTCACGTGGTTTTGCCTGCGTTACCCGAGTGAGCAGACGACGACATAAAGCAGCCCCCCCCCCCCCCCCTCCCTTCCAAAAAACTGTTCCGCAATGAATGGCCAAGAGTGGTGCACAAGCTAGTCTCCTTTTTTATGTGTGGTTGTTGAAGCGCTCATTTAAACAAAAGCAGCCCCGTTGATGTTGTTGCGTTGTTTTCCGTGCAGGCTTGCTGACGGAAGCGGTCCTCTTCATGACGATGGTGTACGTCGGACCGACGGACTTCGCCATGGTCCTCTACTTCTTCGCCATGTCCATCCGAGAGCTTGCAGTTGCCGGTACGTGGTGAAAATTGCTGAGCATCTACAAGCATCGTGCGCGAAATTGATCTTGAACGCAAGTGTTTAACATTGTTCCCTTTAGGCGCGAACTGTGATGTTTTTTCCTACAAATGTGTTGAATTCACACATACCGAAATTCCGAAGCATTCAATATAACACCCCAAAAAACCTAATAAAGTGTTGTGATGTTTTCTGTCAGTTTGCGTAATTCTAGTAATTAGCGTGAAATTTATTATTTTATTATTATGCAGTTCCTCGTGTTCGTTTTGACATGGAAAAATTCAGTCATAGCCTCCAAATGTGTACCTAATTATTTGACTGCATTCACTTCGAGAAATGACAAGCAGTAGTTTGCACGGTGCCTGTGGAACCCGGCATGCCGAACGGTCCACCGAAAACCGTGGTGCCTACACCAAAGTGATCGACTACAGTCATACGCAGCACATTGAGTGTAAGTCGAGACAATTTTATCATGAAGAAGGCTATATTCATCTAATGAGCATAGTATTGTTGTCCTTTGGCCACAAGTCGGCACAACTAGCAACAACAAGCTGCGAACCAAAGGGAGCCACCGCCGCAGAAGGGGATATACTGCAATACAAAACGGAATGGTGTTCTCACCAGTAAAAAGAGGAATAGAAAAGGAAACGTAATTATCCGCCGGCCTAAAGGGGCCCTGCGACACTTCTTGGGCACAGTTATAAAACGGGGCCGGTAGAATTAACGGAATGAAACATTTATTGCAAAAAAATGCAGTTCAAAATTTACACATTGCACTGAATTGATGTCTGTCTATTTCGGCCATCATGACCGGGCATTTGTACGACATGGTCTGAAGCCTGAGGCAGACAGGTTTGCACTGGCTTTAGTAAGTCTCTTAGCGGGATGAGGCAAAGTTTGTCTTTGTAGGTAGTCGAGGAGAACATGTGGGCCGAACGTTAGCGAAACATGCGGCCTGGAATTTAAACATATCCAAGTTGGCTCGAAGCAAAGTCGTATCACGGGGAATCTGCACTGCGGGTCCGGAGCTCCTCCCCCTTCCGAATATTTTTTCGCCTTGCATTCATAGTGCAAAACAACCATTTGTCTGCCCGGCACCCACTTTAGCTCAAAGAGTTTAGATCAAACAGAATACAACTACGGGAGAAGGAGAAAACCTTCTCAGTCCATATGTGGCTAAAGGTGGTTAACGATTTTTAGTACTTGATACTCTACCATGGGAGAGGAAAAAGTCATTCTGTGGGTGTCACAGTTGATGAGGCCTTGTTGACAACGAACGCCAGGCCTGCGCAGAAGGCGCAGCACATTCACAGCGAAAGCTAGAAGAGCGGCCTTTTAGAGCTTTTTCTGAACACTCATCGGGTAACTCCTGCAAGCACGATTGCAGGGTACCCACTATGACATTATTAATAATACTTTATGGGTAGTAGGCCGGCATTCGCTATCCCTCGTCATTCTTCTTAGAAACGTGGTATCCGCTGAACACACAAGAGAAAATTTGTTCCAATTGTTCATGCAGTGGTGGACGACCATAAGGTATTATGCCTGATGGTGTTTGCGCCACAGTTAATAGGTGATCGAGAACAACCTTTTGTAATGGGTTGGATCATTGGACGACCCACGCGTTGAGCTATTTGCGTTATGTGACGCCTGGTTATTATTTTTTCTATTCTAAAACGCTTTATTAATCATATTACCACGATTACTTTTCCTACATCAAGCCTGCCGAAAGCAAGTTTGCGAGCAAGACCATAGCACCGGCGTGGCTCAGTGATAGAATACTTGGCTGGCATGTAGTTGATCCGGGATCGAGCCCCACTATGTCCTTGGTACTAGGTTTTGTTTTTCTTATTTTGTGCGACAGTGGTTACGGACACTGGCGGCGGCGGCGGCGGACAACTACGATGCCGTGTGTGACCCAAGTTGCGATCTTGTAACAGCTTTCGCTGTAAAAAACAACATAACAAAGAATACTTTCGTGCCCTCATGCAGGGGAGGGGGTGAGTGTAAAAAAAAGGCAGTTGTCACCCTCAGGCCCACCCAATAGCCACGATGCAGCAAAGGATTGCGCCCCCAAGAAAGAATCCTGTGGTCACCCATCAACCGTTGTTATCATTTGACCAGCTCTCTGGTTTACAGCGCAAGATGTTTGTACAAGGCGACTGACCAGCTGCAACTTGTTCGTTCACAATTTCGTTCTCGTTTTAACTTCACTCCGTTGCGTATGTTTTTTTCTTGATGCAGGTTATATGGTGAACCCGTTGGACATTGCCCCTCAATACGCGGGAATCATCGCAGGCCTCTCCGGAGCGATGACCTCTCTTGGCAACCTCACATTTTACCCCATGATGAACCACATCTTCAACACATGGGTAAGTGTGAACAGCAAATACCCAACGCTCGCAAATCAAAGCTCTTGCTGTAAGCTTCATCAGATGAACATTACCGATATGCTTTCTTGTTGTGATGTGATATTATCTGAAATTACCTTTGTAATTTGACCGTCATTGAGATAAAAGCTTTTGAACCCATAACTACTTGTACACCTTCTGTTACGACCTACACAATGAATAAATAATAAAATACAGGTGTTGTACGTCGAGAAAGGTTCAGACACAGCTCGACGAAAGGTGCTTTATGAGGCAGGTATGGCTACCGGCGAGTGGCGTGCACGAGCTACTACTGCAGCCACTGATCATCATCGTCTTCTTCAGTCGCAGCAGAGCGTCCGTTATTAAGATTCATTCCAATTACTTCCCGCGAAATAAGGAGCCATCCTGGCGACTTATGGACAAGTAAACACGAGAGGGTCGTAGCAGGGCTTAAGTCTGGACACGTGTACAGTTTCCTGGCCACGACGACTTTGGCCAGAAGATGGTTCCAGTGGCTCGATGAGGTAATTCACCAGTGACGTTTTTTGTAGTATACAATATGGGCCGTGATACTTGGGGACCAACTTGGTAGAAAGGCCAGGTGTAGCAGAAAGGACATGCAGCCAGACAAGTGAACCTGGATCGTATGAAGTAGAGTTAATTGATGCGTCATGGTGGTGCTTTTGGCGTCCTTGGTCTTGTGTTGTGAATGATCTTGCCAGTTGGCGGCATTCTTCAGCGTATGTAGCAGGCTTGAGACAGAGTCGTGGACTCGGAGGAGTCAGACCTGTATGAAAGAATGGTGTCCATAGTGCAAGGAGGTTCGCGTCCAGTAAAGTAGGAAAAAAAGGAGAGAACCCAGTAGTGCTTTGAATGGCGGTATTATAGGCGAACGTGATAAATGGGAGCACTCGGTCCCAATCGGAGTGGTCTGATGAGATGTACATTGACAGCACGTCACCAAAGGTGCGGTTGAAGCCCTCAGTCATTCAATTGGTCTGGGGATGATAGGCGCTTGTAGTGCGGTGAACGGCGTGGTACTCACGCAGCAATGTTGTGATGACGTTTGACACGAACACGCGACTACGATCACTCAGTAACTCTCGAGGTGCTCTATGACGTAATACGATGTTGTGGAGAACGAAAGTCGCAACGTCTTTTGCTGTAAATGAGGGAAGGGATGAAGTTTCGGCATACCACATGAGATGGTCGACGGGAATTATGATCCAGCGGTTACCGTCTGCAGTGTTGGGAAGTGGACCATAGATATCGATGCCGACACAATCGAATTGTAGGGATGGGCATGGTAAGGGTAATAAGGTACCACTGGTGTGATGAGCGGGAGTCTTTCGTCTCTGGCACGTCGAGCAAGCTCGAATGTACTGTCGTATAAAAAGGTACATGTCACGCCAGTAATATCGGAGCCGTATGCGAGAATAAGTCTTCAGGAAACCTGCGTGGCCACATTGGGGGTCATCATGAAACGTGGAACGAATTTCGGATCGCAGTTGACGTGGTAAAAGAACCCCAGGTGGTCAAAATTTCCGGAGCCCTCCACTACGGGGTCTCTCATAATCATATAGTGGTTTTGGGACGTTAAACCCCACAAATCAATCAATCAATCAGTTGACGTGGTATCACAAGTAGCCACTGACGTCCACTGGGTGCGTAGTTGCGTCGGTACAGCACGTCGTCGCGAGTGGTGAAGTGCTAGACTTACCGACGCAACGTGCGAGTAGGGGGAGAATCCATCCGCTCAGCCAGGATGTATAGAATCATGGCAACCCAAGGGTCCTCGTGTCGCTCAGATGGCATGTTGGCGATGGTGACGGCAGTGGCATCGCAGATAAGACTTTCGCAGCTAGCCAGGTCAGGGGGTAGGGGCGAACGGGAGAGGACATCTGCGTCTGAATGTTTCCGGCCGGTGCGATAGACCACGCGAATATCATATTCTTGAAGGCGTAATGCCCATCGGGCGAGGCGACCACTTGGATCCTTCAGTGACGACAACCAGCAGAGGGCGTGGTGGTCAGTCACGACGTCAAAAGGGTGCCCATACACGCAAGGTCGAAATTTTTCTATCACCCAAATAATGGCGAGGCATTCCTTTTCAGTGACGGAAAAGTTGATTTCGGCTTTGCTAAGAGTTCGGCTTGCGTAGGCAACCACGTACTCTTGGAAGCCGTCTTTCTGCTGCGCAAGAGTAGCACCTAGCCCGACACCACTAGCGACGGTGTAGATCTCTGTGGGTGCCGATGGGCCGTAGTGTCACAGAATAGGCGGCGACGTGAGCAGGTGGTGCAGTTCATGGAAAGAATCGTCACAGGTAGCAGACCAGGCCGAAAGGTCTCTAGAGCCGGCAAAGAGCTTGGTCAAAGGAGTGATGATCATCGCGAAATTGCGGACGAAGCGCCGGAAGTAGGAGAAAAGGCCTAAGAAGCTTCGGAGCTGTTTCATGGTGGTCGATTTGGGAAACGCTGAAACGGCTGTAAGTTTGGCATAGTCAGGAAAAATGCCGTCTTTCGAAACCACGTAGCCAAGGATCGCTAGCTTTCGAGCGGCGAAATGGCACTTCTTCAGATTCAGTTGCAACTTCGCGGCGGAGATACAAGCGAGGACTTTCTCGAGGCGGGCTAAATGGGTTGCGAAATCAGCTGAAAAGACGACAATGTCATCTAAATAACAAAGGCAAACGTTCCATTTGATACCTTAAAGGATAGAGTCCATCATTCGCTCAAACGTAGCTGGCGCGTTGCAGAGGCCGAAGGGCATGATTGTGAATTCATAAAGCCCACCAGGCGTGATGAAAGCAGTTTTTTCGCGATCGGTCTCTGCCACGGGTAGCTCCCAGTATCCAGAGCGCAGATCTAAAGAAGAGAAAAATTCCGCTCCCTGTAGGCAGTCCAAGGCATCGTCAATACGTGGCAGCGGATAGACATTTTTGCGCGTGATTCGGTTGAGACGTCGGTAGTCCACGCAGAACCTGATGGATCCGTCCTTCTTCTTCACCAGCACGACTGGAGAGGCCCAGAAACTGCTTGACGGTTCGATTATGCCACGTTTCAGCATATCGTCGACCTGTTCATTGATGACACGACATTCGACAGTTGACACACGATATGAACGCTGTCGTAATGGTGTCTTTGACCGGTATCTATATGGTGAACAACAGATGACGCTCGACCTAAGGGAGGCTGATTGGGGTCAAACGAGGCTCGAAAACGCTGTAGGAGCTTGATCAGCTGTTTCTGCTGCCCAGACGTGAGGTGGCAATCAATGGACTTGCGGAATACATCCATAGGGTCATTGGCGTCAGTTGCGGGTGTAATGGCACAAGTCGGTAAAAATGGCTTGTCTGGATAGATCGGGTCTTCGAAAATACAATCTAAGGCCTCGAGGCTCCCCCACACTAACCGCGTAGCAGGATATATGTACAAGCAGAAACGTTGCACGCATAAAGTGCCACCGAACCATTGAAAAAGTGGATGACGGCAAACGGGAGGACGATGGTTTGGTGGTGCGCAGTAGCTGTAGTTTGTTGGAACAGGAGCGTCGAGTTAGTGGCAGCATGGGAAAACACATGCACTAGGACGGCGGAGAAAGGCGCGATGGGGACATCAGCTGCGGCAAACACTTTCGAGGGACTGTGGTGGCCGATATCAAGGCAAGGAGTCAACGTGAGTTCAGCACGAGCGCAGTCGACGAGGGCCTGATGGGTAGAAAGGAAACCCCATCCTAGTATGACGTCCTAAGATGAACGTGGAACAACAACAAAGTTGATGGCGTACCACACATCTTGAATAAGAACACGTGCTGTGCACTGATCCATCGGCGCGATGAAATGGGAAGTGGCTGTACGCAGAACAAGATTCGTAAGAGTAGTGTTGTAACTTTTCTCAAATCGCGACACAGTTTTTCACTAATTACAGAAACGACGGCGCCTGTGTCGACAAGTGTCACGTACAGCAACACCTTCTACTAGCACATTAATTTCGTTGGGCGGACAAAGAGGAGGTCTTGGAGAGTTCGACGACGACGCAGTTCTTGCCTCCGGAACTGTGGCCGTCAGTTTTCCTCTCGAGCGGGGCTCGTGCGCCGAAACATCGGGGAGACAGATCGGGGAGGGGGTGGCAATTACCGGCGAGAGTAGACAGGGCGTCATGGGGACAATGTGTCGGCGATAGGGAAAATGGTCGCTGGGGGTTCTGGGCAGCCTGGTAATTTGAAGAATCCCCACTGTCCGGAGGCTGGAAGTTGCGACAGTGACAGTAGCGTGCTATATGTCCCACAAAACCGCATGCAAAACAGATGGGTCGATTATCGAAGGTGCGCCCTGGGTTAACGACAGAAGGTGCGGGGGGCGTAGTAGGATGAGGTGTCATGTATGTAGGCAGCGTCGTATGGTCGGAGGACCCGGTGCCCCTGTATGCGCCAGAGACAGGTGGGGCTGGGGGTCTAGCAACGACGGCAGCGCAGGTCAGCGGCGTAGAGGCAGATGCCGATGAAGGCAGTGCCTGCGTGACCTGTGTCTCAATGACCTGGCGTGGACGAGGGTCTAACAAGCTCAGTGGCTTGGATGCTTCAGCCACAAAAGAAAGTTGACGGGCAACTTTTTCTCGAATGAATATTTCAATTTCAATACTTCAATTTACGTATAATATTTCAGTTTCAACGTTCAATACTTCAATTTCCGTGAATTTTTTCCATGTTCTAAGAGAGAAACAACTAAAAGACGCAGTCTTAAGGGAATGCTGTTTACAGGAATCTTTGAATTGTTCCAGCACTACACAAAGGCCACAAATCACTTCAGTTCAGACGCAAACGTTTTACAGTTCAGACAAATGTTTTACATCTGTTCCTCAACACAAATAGAATTGTGGCTGTTCGTGTTGCAAGATCTAGAGACAGAATGCAAACAAAATGTCTTCATATTTTGTCTTACATGCACTTTCTGGCATCCGTGGCCCACAGTGGAGAGCTTGCCCAACCTGACTCTCTTCACTATTTAGTTACATTTGCCCTATTGCCCGCTTTTTGTGACTGCCAAACATGTCACCGAGTACTAAAGCTGTGGCCGAACTGTGATAAGAAAGGCAGCCAGTACTTTGCTGATCGCATCGACTTATATGCACGCGTAGTCATGACGGCTAGATTGAAGCATCCGCCGTTGTGGCTGAAATTGGTGCTGGATCACACTCTCAGGTTCGCTCAAACATAGATACCCTATAAAATGAATCGGAAGGTAGCAGTCGCTGTTGCTCAGTTGATAGAAGATCGGACACAATATGAAAAGGTGGCAGGTTGGACACCACAGAAACCTCAGTGCAGCTAGACAGAACACAGTGCACCCATACTTTTCTTGGCTTTATTATCGGTTGGTGTCCATAGGTTTTCTGATATGACATTATTTTCACGTTTACTCGTGCAGAAGATTCGGCACGACCACATGACGCCATTGTACGCCGTGAGTGTCATCAGCGGAGGCCTGCAGTTCCTGGCGGCGCTGATCTTCGTGGTCTTCTCGTCGGCCACTGAGCAGGACTGGTCCAAGGACGAGGGGGCTTCGCCGTCGGCCAGCGGGGACGCTCTTTACGGGACCAGCAGCGGCGGAGGCAACAACAACAACGACCCTTACCTGGACACCACTGAAGTGACCGTTAGCGACGGCGGCATCTCGCTAAATGTGATCGTGAAACGGTAGCTCGAGGACGATGTCGAGGCTGTTGCCGTGTGAACGACGATGCCTCGGCAAGCACTGGGCAGGCGCGCCTATTACCTTGACCGAAAGAAGGCCGTGGGACGTCAGAAGTGCGGGTGTAGCCTGAATGGACAAATTCAAGCTCTACGGGATCCACAATCTTCGTACACCTTCACGAGCAAGTACTTCGGACATGCTTCGGGGCGAGAGAAGGTGCTTGAGTAATCAAGGATGACTATTGCCAAAACCGGCGCGTTGCAGAGATACATGCTTGTCGCACCGGATGACAGCGAAAATCGAACGCGAGTCGCGTTGTGAAGCTTAACCGTGTTTGTGAAGAAGCGAATGCGAATATACTTTGCATTTCTTTACTGGCGGTCGCCCTACGCGAGGACACTCTTTGTAAATAGAGCACATCACCCACTTCTGCTCTGGACGCTGTGGTCTTCACCTGAAAAAAAAAAAGAGGCGGTTTGCGTGCTGATGCTCAAGTCTATATTGTTTTCCGAATGACCGAGACTACGCGAGACGAGCACTTCAATTTACATAGCTCTTCCGAACTCTGTCAATGGTGAATCAGCTATGTACTCTGCGCCCTCACGCGACGACAGTTCTGACCGCCCTTACGTGTCTCCCTGAGCACTTGTGGAGTGTTAACGTAATTAAGTGAGGTCAATTGAAGCCGTGCTCAGCTCAGCTTACCCTTGATGACGTAAGTCTGGCTTCTTGAGGCCACAAGCACTGTAACCTGGGTAGTACGGCAAAGTTTGTCACCTCTAAAGCCGTAAAGCACGTCATACCTAGCTGCACTTCGTGCGGGCAGTGCTCAAGAATACAGATGTGAAGGCGTATGCATTCTGTGATGACGTTGTGCGTGCCAAGAACTATGCGAAGTCGTCGAAGTCTGTGACCTGTGTGAGTTGCATGATGTTGCCCTGACAACAGTGGCGACCCACCCAACAGCCAAGATGTTCAAAGCCACCGTGGCAAAAGTGCCACGCAGGCATCACAAGTAACGACTCTTCTCCCGTAATGTCGTGCCCGCAATTAATGTTTTGCTCGCAATGTGCTGTTTGTTATCTCTTCTATATAGGAGTTATGTGCTATGGTAAAAATGAGAGCAGGGAAAAGTGACAGTATGCTCTTGCAGGGCTAGTAATGCTAGCAAAAGCACGCTGAATGAAGACACAAATTGGAGCTTAAACTGCAGTAACTCGCAATTACTTGCTAAATCGAACTAAAAAAAGGCTGTACAAACTGAATCATTCAGTTGCAAGCCTTCTGTGCTGTAAACAGCCTTCCAAGGAGGCAGTCTACGGGGTACGAGCAACCAGCAACAAAATTATTAGCAATATTATTTACGCTCTATTATAAGAAGCAGTTGTTGTGGTGTTTAATGCATGTATATGGGCATACGATTCAAGCAACGCATGTCCTCTCGCCATATCTAAGCCACATTGGATAGCGGAATGCTGAAATTGGTGTACCACATTAAACATCAGTACTAAACATTTTTTTTCGAAACCCTATTTTTTTCTAGGGGTCCACTTGTATGCTACTGTATTTTCTGTGCTCGGTTGCTGGCAAGATATTCACGGACTCAATTCCTGCCACGGCAGTGGCATCTAGCTGTAGGCGAAATGCCAAAAAACAACTCTCCAGGCCAATTCCCTACCCCCCTTCCCCGAAATTGTTTTTCGCTTTTCGCCAGGCGTACATAGCGTAAAATGACCATTTGTTTGCCCAGTCCCCACTTTAATTTCAGAAGGCGCCACCTCTCCACGAAAAAAAAAATACTCTGCATACAACCGCGTCGTGTACTGTGCCATGTCATCATCATCATCATCATCATCATCATCATCATCATCATCATCATCATCATCATCATCATCATATCATCATCATCATCATCATCATCAGTCTGACTACGTCCCCTGCAGGACAAAGGCCTCTCCCATGTTCCACCAGTCAACTCGGTCCTGTGTGCCATGTCAGCACACATTAAAGAACACCAGATGGACCAAGTTTCTGGATCCTTCCACAACAGCTTGCCTTATAACCATATGTTGCTTTTCGCACGTAAAACCCCAGATGTTATATTAGATCATTCTCCTTTGCCCTAGTATTGATAAGTTCTGACTCTGCCAAGATACATGGCCCCAGTTTTCTTAACTGAAGCCTAGCAACAACTTAGCAATACAATATAGTGCACCCATGAGGAAACAAAACAATCAGGAGACATATTCTCATACACAACTGAAGTGCATCCACGTGTTAAAAAATTTTCACTTTTCTTTCAGAGCACCATTCAGCTCCTAGCCAGTGCCAGATTGTGTGTTCATTCACCGGGCCCCGTCGACAGTTATTTAAAGAGCCGAGGCTGTGCAATGCTGTGTAGATGGAAACGTGAGGAAGACATTTATGTGCGAACAAATTGCTTAGTTGTCTTTTTTTAGTGCATTAATGACACACGCTTAACGTTTCTGTAGAGCACGTGTGCTTTCTGATCTTATATCGTGCCCAACCTAACTAAATGAAATTTAATGGGCTCACTGACGTAAGAGGTGAAATACGCATGGGCAATATGATGACTGGAAGTGAGAAATCAAAGCAGAAATGAGAAAAGAAAGGTGTCATGCTCGCGTACTTATGCATTTATGCTTCATATCTGCATATATACACTTTTTATTCGTGTACTTGTGTTTTGTTTCAGATATACGCCTAAAATGTGTGTTACACAAACTGTAGGACATGCACTTAGAACAGTTAAGATACGATTTCACAAGGCGACGTCCTTTTAATTTGTTGATGTTGGCTAAGAGAATTCCAAAGGCTAAAAACACCTCATCCAAATGAAAAAGCATCATTTGAAACAGGAATGACATGCAACTATTCACCAGAAGCAAGGCGGCAAGACGCGTACCAAAGTACACGACACATATTGTTAGAAAACCCAGCTATGTATTTAAAGGAGACGAGCTTTGGAAAAGGAAAACTGGATTTCAGAAGGTAAGCTCGGGAAAGAGAAAGATTATGCTAAGTATATATGAAGGCAGTGCGATTTCTAGTGATGCTCATGATGCTCATGCTATAGGATATATTTGCACCAGGAGCGGACCACTCTGTCTAAACTGGTGAAGAACTGGAAAAGAATGAAAATAATTATTCAGTACGAACAAAAAAGTGCGATCACTGAGATGATGCGAGTATGTATGTTTGAAAGGTCGCCAGTGCTTCAGAGCGTACAGGTGCGATAATCCAAATTAAAAAAGTTTATGAAGACTGCTCGAGCGTGTTAACGAGGATCACGTGTCTCTAGATGAGACGAGGAAAGGGACCAGAGAGTGAGCTGCAGCAAGTTAATAAGAGAGGTGGAGCATATATGAGAGACGTGTGCGAAGATTTGTACTGAAGTTATCCGTGTGTATGCTTTTATGAGCACAGGCATAATGGGATTTTATATTTCATGCGTATACGGTGAAAAAGATTATAGTTCAGTGAACCAATGAGGAACGGGAGGTCACTAAACGTCTGCTGCGATGAAGAAAAAAAGTACAGAGCCTTGTGCAGTACGAAGTAAGCATTGCCTGAAAAGGGGACACAATGGTTTACTCGTGCAATGGATTATTATTCAGGAGGTAGTGCATTCAGACGATCGAGTACGAAGCAGCGGGCAAGTGCAATCCTCGTAAGAGGTTAGTGATGTCTTCTTCCCATCTGCGTAGTCATCTTTAGTCATTCTCTGGCAATTTAGGTTCCTCGTTACCAATTGTGTGTCTCTGGTAGAATCTCATTTCAAAGATGTTGCTGCCCATCTCTCTAATGGCAACACAGCTGCTTCAAACGATAGAAGAGTATTAATATGAACGACCCGTTCTTAGTTTCTGTGCAAGCGTTCTCAGCGCAATTGTTTTACAGTGATGAAGCACAATATGGTTTCACCGAATAATTTCACTGTATATACTGACTCTGTCGCAACTGTTTTCGCCGTCTGCGTTTTTTTTTTGACAACCTCGGAGGCATGATCGTTTGTTTGAGAGGAACAAAAAGTGCACTTGTCTTCAGATTCACATTGAATAAAAGCCATTTTGTTACAAGTGCTCATCGTCTCAGTTTGCATTATTACACCCTCATACAGACAGACATAATGTTCATTTAACGGTAAAGATAAATAATATATTGGTCCTATGAAGTAAATAAAAACTAGGGTGCCATCTGTTTTGGACCATATACTTTCTTATTGGGTGTCAGAACTGGCAATGTGACAGAGGACGCTGCACAGATTGGTGATTTGAGGATTATGTCATACTGGGAGTACATGTATTGATAACGGTGGGTTCAGACTGAGGAGGAGCGGTACATTTCGTGGAAGCATTTTAGTGCAACAAAGTTCTACGTGATGGCATGCAGAGAATCGCGCTAAAATTTTGGGCAAATGAGTATTTTGGGCACAAGAGAAGGCATGTGACTGGTGCAAACACTGATAACCATGAGATTCGTGTCATGTATTGCATTGCACATGAATACACGCCACGCTCATGATGCGCTGGCGGCCGTTTCGCAAGCTTCACATGTACCAAACTGCGGTATTACGCGACAGCGAACGGACTGCATAGGTAAACGACACAACGAAACATGATAATCATGAGATGCGAGTCATGTAACAACATGACTACATGCCACACTCGTGATGCGCTAGCAGGCCATTTCGCTACGTCACATTGCCAAATTTGGTATTACGTGACGCCAGCGAATGGCGAAGATGATGTGACTGGTGCAAACATGATAATCATGAGATGCGTGTCATGTGAGAACATTACTACATACCACAGTCAAGACGCCAATACATTTCTACATGACGTGGTGCGCGTGCTCGCCGACGTTCATTTCGTCGCGTCACGCCAGCGTTGCGACGCCACGTGCCGGTCCTGCCATATACTCGCAGGCGCGCGCCACGCTGCGTTGCTCTGACGCACGCGCGTTTCAGCGCGTCCAACGTCTCTCCGTCACGAAAATAGAGAGACGCAGTGTTGTTCTTGGTAACGCATCAGCACGAAATACAGCATGTTGCATTTCGCACCGGTTGCCGTCTGGCCGCGCCAACGAACGTTGGTAACAACGGTCGTGCCTGGCGTCAGACTATATACAGTACTCGCTCGCGTTTTGCTGACGTAGCGTTGCT